AAAAAGTAAGAGGAATAGAAAGGAGGGGTTATTTGAATTAATTACTTAACTGAGAGGGGAAAAGCAGGGAGAAGTGTTAGATACTTAAATGAAAGAAAGAAAAAAAAAGAAGGAATAAATAAGTTAACTAAAACTTCAAAACTAGAGAAGAGGTTGAAAAAATAGAATTGGGTTGGTGTAAGGGCAAAAGATCTTTGGGGAATATAGTTGCTTTGAAGTTGATTAAGGAAAACAATTGTAGGGACAAGGTACTATCTAAAAGGAAAAAATAGAAGGAAAAAACCCAATATATTAGAGATTAAAAAGGAGCATATATATGTATATACATACATATATACATATTATATAAAAAATAAACATAAGCCTATTTCTATAACATTAAATGAGTAACAGATTGAGTAAGAAAACAAAAGCCTACACTCTGTTGCTTTCAGAAAACACTTCTAAAAGGCAAAGAGATACACAAAATAAAAGTGGGAGGCTGGAATAAAAGTCATTATGTATCAGGTGAATCCAAAAAAAAGCAGGAGTTGAAATCACACTATCAAATTGAAAACAAAGTCTTGAAAAACAGTCAGATACATTTATTAAATTATACTATGCTTAGGAGCAGCTAGGTGGCACAGTGGATAGAGCACCAGCCCTGAAGTCAGGAGGACCTGAGTTCAAATTCGGCCTCAGACAAAACACTTGACACTTACTAGCTATATGACCCTGGGCAAGTCACTTAACCCCAATTGCCTAAAAAAAAAAAGGCAAAAAAATTATACTATGTTTAAAGGAACAATAGAGAACAAACCAATATCAATTAAAAAAATGTATGTGTGCCAAAAATAAAAAATAAAAACTAGAATAGACAGAAAAGGGAGAGTGGGTATGGTGTAAAAGGAAAAGATTCTTGGGGAATAGGGTTGCCTTAAAGTCAATTAAGCAAAAATATCTAAATTCATAAGAAAAAATTTGAATTATAAGACATGTATTTGTATGTGTGTATATGTATATATGTATGTGTGTAAATACATATGATTGTGTAAGCACAGACACAGACACACACACAATACTGGGAGACTTTGATTCCCTCTCTCAGAGTTGGAAAAATCTAACAGAAAGATAAAAGGGAAAATAGAGAATTGAGCAATAATTAAAGTATAATTCAAAATAACCTTGAGCTTTCATTTCACATTCAGAACCACTGGCAATGATATCAAACGATTAATATTAGAGTCAATATTGGAGGGGTAGTAGGAAGAAGGCAAACTAATGTATTGTCGGTGGAGCTAAAAATTGATGCAACAGTTTTGGAAAACAATTTGGCATTATGCAAATAGAATGATTGATTGTCCATTCTTTGACCCAGAATCCCTCCATTAGACCTAGAAAGAAAGGACGTGTATATATACCAAAATATTTATAGCAGAATTTTTGTGTATGTGTTTGTGTGTGGCAACAAAGAATTAGAAACAAAGTAAATGTCTGTCAATTAGAAAATAGGTAAATAAATTCTGGTATATTAATGTAAAGAAATACTATTATACTTTAAGAAGTTATGAATATGAATGCAGAGAAGCATGGAAATACAGCAACTAACACAAAGTGAAGTTAACAGAGCTAGAAAAACAATACGCACCATGACTACAACAATTGACTTGGAAAGAAAAACAGCCACAAAAATAACAAAAAATGAATGTTGCAAAATTAAAAAGAATATACATAGTCCTAAAGAAGAGGTACAAGCAAACCATCTCCTAGAAGAAGGTGTGGATGCATGAATGTCAGATTTTATAAAAGTATTGATTGGTTTTGTTGACTTATATTCTTTTTTTATTTTGTTTTTCTTTGATAAAAACACCTTTTTGTCATATGAGTTAAATGTCTGGAAGGGTGGAGAGGTGATAAAGGAGGAAACAGGCTATTTAAAAACAAAAGAAATTTAAAAAAATTAAAAATCTGACTTCACACTGAATGCTTTCAGAAGCAATTGTCTTTATTTTTGCAATGTTTTGAGGTAGTATTTTAGAGATAAATGATTGTACAAGATGGTTGTGTGCTTATGTGTAAAGTGTTTTGCAAACCTTTAAAGTTATATATCTGTGTGTGTATATGTGTGCTATTAGTTTTGTTCTAACTTCTTAATGCCTCATCATTATCAGTAATGTTCAATTACGGACAAAGGAAATAGAAATTCATTCCTGTCCCTGAAATCTACTGGTCTAAAGATTTCCTTATTAATATGGATGACCACCCCAAATAACTTTTAGAGACTGGCCTCTTAGTCTATTGATGTTCCTTGAGGGTAGAGGATATTTTTCATTTCCATTCATTGCATTATCTCTGGCGCTTAGCATGATGCCTAGCATTTCGTATACACTTAATGCCTGTTAATTGATCAATTGAGATTTAAAATATATCATTTACACGCCAAAACCAAAATCTAGATTAAAATTTTAAAATATCCAGACTGAGAAAATAATGATAAACACTGAAAATAAGCAAACCAAAAACATTTCTCAGTAAGCTTGGTTTTACATTTTTGTGGGCTCAATCTAACACTGCCTTTTGAGAGTTCTGGAAAGCATTAGATTTATGAATCAGGGAAACAGTCCATGACCCTGAGTGAGTCACTTCATCTTTTTTGTGCCTTAATTTCTTTATCTATAGAAGGGAATGGAAAGGGGAGAGTATTATATCTGAAGTCCTTTCAAGCTCTACATCTTGGACCATTGCTCTCATGACAGCAATATATATATATATATATAGTAGAAAGCTAATTGGTTGCTGATTATATGCTAACTTTTAATTTCCTTGTGCAAGGCTTCTAGTAAAAGAGTACTTAAAATGGAATGATTAAAATACTGTAATATTTTATGATTGCAGGGTGAGCGCATTGTTTAAAAGACCTGCGTTGTTGTGGGGTTGTTGGTGGTGTTGTTTTGGCAAGATAAGAATTTGGGGAAGGAAGTGGATAGTGAAATGATCTAGTCTAAAGGAAAAGACAGCATTATAAACTGAGAAAAACCATTATCTATGGTACATTAAGGATTAATCGACCAGAAATACAGGATATTACATTGGACACAACTGATGCCAGGTGCTATTTTGCTTGCAGAAAATCTGTATTTTATAAAGATCATAAAAAGAATGAATTCTCAAGCTGACATACAATGAGGACATACAATGAGAAAATCGTATTTTATAAAGATCATAAAAAGAATGAATTCTCAAGCTGACATACAATGAGGACATACAATGAGAAAGAACAAAGTGTGATTGCTCCATCAGGAAAAAACAAATTAAAATTCACAACTGTGAGCATCTTCTGCAGGCTTTGCAGGGAAAACAATAATGTGGAGCTTTCTCTCTCCTTTTTTTTGTTTCTGTTATGAGCTTTTTGTCAAGACTGCAAAGTGCTCATTGCAGTTCAAAATCTATTGACATAGCTATCTAATGTTAGAAACCTTTTCTTTGTGGTGCAGTGAAAATCTATTCTGATTAATGATAAACAAACCTCTATAGGCTCATTGGTTTCAAAAGGCATCTAAAAGTAGAAGTTAGGAAGTATAAAAGTCTTTAGATTAGGCTGCTCAGGAGACTACTATTTCTTCTGATTCTTTTCATCATGTCAGATTCCAATTAGACCAGTCATATAGTTAAATACTCCAATATTTCATTACTTCCACATCTTTTGTTGCTTCAGGTCAAATAACTGAAATAGGTTGAGGGGGAAGGGAGAGAGAGGGAGAGTTAGAAAGGTTTTTTTTTCAGATTTAAAGAAAAGCTTTTATTCAGAATAAGTTTCTTTTGGCACACAGATTCATGATGATTTTTACCTTCCGACACCCAAGTTGAGTCTGCTTTCTATCAGTTTGAATTTTTTCCTATTAAGACTACACTGCTGAATTTCTTTTCTCTTTTGGCATTTTGATTTAATCTATTCTTAGAAAGCAGAAATGTTACAGTAATTTAACATGAGTTCTAAGAAATAATTATGGTAACTCTCTCTGAAATAAAACTAACTCCAAAATTTTCTTTTCATATCAATTAAAATAAAACTTTTAGCTACTTTTTGTTATATAATTTTAAGAGGGAAATGTAATTCATTTCTCAAATTCAGTTTGCACGAAAAATTTTGGAGCTTCTATTTTTTTTTATTGCAAAAGAATAGCATGCTGTTCCAGATTAATATACACATTTTTTCTGACTACCCAAAGCACCTTGAAGACCATGGTTGTTAATGTCGCCAAAAGGTGATGGAAATAATCATCTCATCCAGTATTTTTGCCTGTCATTAACAATTTTCTGAATTGTGTCATTTATTTATTTGTTTGTTTAGATGATCCTAAGCTGTAATTTCATTACATTTACCTGGTATGGAAATTCTCTCAACTCATCCAAATGGCAATTCCTCTGTAATTTGATGTTACAGAGGGTTACCTAGTGCTACTGAATGGTTAAATCACTTACCCATGACTACATAACTACTAGGTGTCACGAGTTAAATCCAGGTCTTTCTGACTCCAAGGATCAATAACTTAGGGCTAGAAAGACCTCTGCAACCACTTGCAAAGGGAACTTGGGGGAGGGGGGCTGTCTTTTAGGCCCAGAGAAGTTAAGTGACTTATATGAAGTCATGTAGGTCAGTGAGACAAGATTTGAACTCATATCCTTTTACTCCAAATCCAGTGTAGCCATTTCTCCATGCAGTATTCTGTACCTCCTCTTGTTATTTACCATAATAAATGTTAAAATTGCTATTAAAGGAAATAAATGTGGATTAAAGTCTTCCTTTTCATATTATTTAGGCATTCATATTTAAAGCATATAAAATACACATGGATGTCAGCCAGTTTAATATGTGTTAACAAATATGTTAAAATAAATCAAATATTTATTACAGTAAAAATATTCCTTAAAACTTCAAAAAATGTTTAATTCACGGTCTTGTGTTATTGTTGCTATGCTGTAAAATTCTATTTCCTTTTGCTTATCTTCTCATCTTATAGGAAATAAACGATGCTGATGTACAGGAACTAGTGAGAAGGTCAATTGGAAGGTTAACTATTATTCGGCAGACATTTCCAGTCCCCCAGAATATAAGTCAGAGATGTTTCCGTGGCAACCATCGAATATCTTCAACATTGTGTGATCCCAAAGACCCATTCTCCCAGAATATGGAGGTACGCTCTGTATGTCTATGTATTCTTTTGTGCGTAGTATACTGACAGACAGCTACTGAATGAGTTTAACACAGTGCCTGGAACATAGTAGATGCTTAATAAATATTTGTTAATCAATTGATTGAATGAACTTTCAGAGTAGCATTAGAATAGTTAGCTGTTCAATAAATCTACTGAACAATTCTTAACAATTTGTAAACTGCTAATTCTGATTTTAAGAGGAGTTTGTTAAAAATTTATATTGCTTCCATGACCTCATGTAAAAAAAATGTTATTGTTCAGTAGTTTCAGTCATGTCTGACTCTTCATAACCCCATTTGGGGTTTTCTTAGCAAAGATACTGGAGTCATGTGCCGTTTCCTTCTCCAGCTCATTTTATGGATGAGGAAACTGAGACAAACAGACTTAAGTGACTTTGTCCAAGGTCACACAGCTAGTAAGTGTTGGAGGCCAGATTTGAACTCAGGAAGATGAGTCTTCCCGACTCCAGGCCCAGTTCTCTATCTATTGTGCCATGTAGCTGCCCATGTAGAAAATATCCTTTTGCTCCGTAAAATTATGAATTATGGTATATTCTTCAAAGAGTGGATTGTTTATATTCTTTTGCTTGTAATTTTTTTTAACTAATCAATTGATATTATACTAGAAATAACAGATGCCAGGATTGTTAGCATTTAAGACCAACTTCACTAGTAAATTAAGCTTACTTTTCTAGTCAACAGAGTGGGAAGGGAAGGAAGAGAAAGGGAGGCAAAAGAAGGAAAGAGGCAGGAGAGGAGGGAAGAGAGGGAGTGGGAGAGCAGAAGAAGGAAGAACAGGGAAGGAAAAGGAAGAGAGGAGAGAAGACTTAAAAATGTTAAGTGATCTGGCAAGCCAATCTTTTAACTTGGTTTAACCAAAATTCCATGCTACATAAGCACGTTTTAATTTTACATAAGGAAAAGCTTTATAAAATTTAGAAGCGCCCAACCACAGTGGCAGTCTCTCTTTCCTATCCCCTAATGAAGCATTCAAGCATAGCCTGATAGCTATCTGTCTGGAATTTTGTAGAAGGGATTCCTGCATTAGATAGGAAGCTAAGTCTAGCTGCTCTAAACTCCCTTTAAATGTGAAGATTTTATGAGTTTGCGACAATGTAATATTAATAGTTTGAAGTCAAATTGGTTAAGCAATATAGAGGCTTCATCCTTATCATCAGCTAAGGCAGATAATAATGGTTAGATTTAATGGATACCTTTGAAAAATTATATAGTTGTACCTAAACGGCCAAAAAAGAAAATGGTTTTACCTAAATTACATGCTTGTACCTAAAAGGCCAATAAAAGAAAATAAAAAATAATATCAACAAGAAAAGGAAAGCAGGCTGTAGTCATTAACAGTTATGATGCAAAAAAATTATTGTACATTCAATTTGAAAGTTAGCCTGCTAATATATTAAATGTTACTACTCTGGGGAATCAAAAACACTAGAAAATCCAAGTTATAGATATATATATCCCAATGCTATTACTTCCATAAACACCATAATATTCATAGACATAGTACCTTTCATTCTGTGAAGCTCAAAGTAATTCATGGTCACATTCAATAGTGGAAAATACTCAACTTTCACTTCAATTGGAGGGTCATATGTTAGTGCCAAGAGCTGCCTCTGCCAATATCTGATTCTTCATTCCTTGTCCCCTCCTTGCCTGCTGTATTTGGGTGTGTTTGAACCTCTTTATGGTCTGTTGTGTATGTGTGTATATATTTATCCTTTAAATGTAAGACACCTTTTTTTTTTCAAATTTTCTACCCACGTTCAAGCATCAAGAGCCTTACTCAGCACTACTGCCACCCTCAACTGCAGGCTAGCAGGGCCCAGAAAAGAATACCCCAGAAATTCCCCTCTTCTACAATCCCTACTGCAGCAGTGACTGTGAAGGAGGTAACATGAGTGATGGGACAGATGGGGACCAGGAATGATCCTATGTAATTGTTTCCATATCCAAGTCTTTGTTCAGAAAGGGCAAAATGTTGAGGGTGAGTGGGTGGAATTGGACAAGAGGATTGAGAAATCTTCTAGAAGCAATATATTCTCCATCCCAAGAGAGGCAAGTGTAGCCAGGAAATCATCTGCTCACCTCTCTGTCCCCACTTGTATCTCAGTCCCAGTGAATTAGCTTAGTTTAGTTTCTTAGCTGGAAAAAAGAGGGTTTTCCTAAAGAAAAATTGTAAAGAAATGAGCCAAATATGAGAATAGCAGATAATATTCTGAGGAATCATGAATCCCTTTATCCCTTTATTAACACTATGTATTATGTCCTCAATAAATCAGTAAACATTTATAAAGCACATACACTGTTCCCATGCACTATGTTAAGTACTTGCATACAAAGACAAAAGTAAAACGATTCATGTCCTCAAGAAACTTATGTTCTATAGAGAGAAACAACAGGTACACGTTTCAGTATATACAAAATAAATACAAGGATATGAATGAGGGGCGGCAATAAAAGCTGAGGGGAATCAGGAAGGGCCTCGTGTAGAAGGTGGCACGAGCTGAACTTTGAAGAACATTTCTTTTTTTTTTTTATTTTCAGCAAAGACAAGGTTTATTAGAACATCCATCATACTGGGCAGACTTAAGGAGTCTGAACATTAGTGAGCTATTGGCTAGATTGTAAGAATCTGAGCAGTGGCTAGTTTTAAGAATCTGAGCATTTTAATAGAGACATGATGGTCCTCATATACAGAAAGACTATGGTAGGGATCAAGGAGAGGCCAAGTAGTCTGTGAAGTAACAGAACTCCAGGGACCTGGGCCAAGTGACCAAGGGAGAATGGAGCCCAGATAGGATTAAGGATGGGAAGTGGCCTGGGGCCATAGGGAGGTAACATAATTGGGAGATTGGGTGTAGCCACAATGAAAGGCCAATTAATGGGATTATAGCCTCAGGTGAACACCAGAGATTTGGCCATGTGGGAACGTCCAAGGTTTTTCCTTTTGGGGTCTAGATCCCAACCCCATCATTCTCTCCTCAAACAAATGGGATCCTTTTGGGGTGAGGGGTGAAGGTCTTGGCTTCTGAAACTGCTTCCTCCTGGCAAGGTGCATAGAGCTGTCCTTGCCTCAAGGGAGTCCCAAAGAGGAGGTTGACTGGAACCAAGCACAGGCTGCACCCAAGGAACAATGGGGGGACATTGGCTGGTATTAGGGTTTGCTACCAACTGTAGGTGAATGGCCTGTAGTCTGAAAGACACAAATCTGATGGAAAAGACTGCAGGACCCAGATATAAAGCAGGGACTAGATTTAGGACCCAATTATGAGGATAAAACATCCTTAAATCTGTTTGGATTCAGATAATTCAGCTTTCCAACCATGCAGTGTCATAGCCAGACTCAGGAATAGGCATGTGGGGAACATTCCTTTTCAAAGAAACATAATGGGGAAACTGAGCCAAGAGGATCCCATCTTAGACTGAGGCTAAAATTGTCCTTTCAGCTTTTCCCAATGCAGACTACCACCAGTACCACATTCTCTCTGAGTACCTTGTGGCATGTCTCAGATGGTGGATTATTGATTTATCGATGGATTATTATGACATATTAGACAACTCAGAATAAAATCCTATGAGCTTTTACCTCAAACAGCAAGTTTCATTAATCAATCACAGTTTAGGAAAAACTTTTCCAGGATTTACATCTCAAATTTAAATTTGTCCTGGTATAAAAAGCCAGTCCTTAGCAATTATTCCTAAATAATTGTAAATTCTTAGCAAGACAAAACCCAAACAAGCTTTTTGGCCAGTTTACACATTAAAACATTGACCAACAATAGCCAAATTATTTTAGCAGTAACCAAATTATGAAAAGTTGCTCGACATAACTGATAGAAAAAGTTCACCAATTTAAAACAAACCCATTACCAATCAGGTGACGTCAATTTTGTTAAATGCATTTCCAAATTACTTTACACAGAGAATCAACATCTCATCATTAACAGTGAAAACTACAAATTTAAAAGAGCGTGCTTACCCAAGTTCAGAGGCTAGCTTCATTACCTTGAGCAGGATGTGCTGAACCTGGGCAAAGGTTGCCCTTGGGCCCAAGGCCATTGCAGGTGGGGGCATGCTGTACGTGCTGCCCCTCCTTCCTTTCCCAGGTGGGAGAGGGTGAAACTCTCTTCTCCTATGAGAGGAGTTAACAGATATCCTCTTGGCTCAAGGGAAAGGAGTGACCAGGGTTGTAAGGAGGTATTTCAAAACTCTAACTTTTCCATATAATCTCCATGAAGGAGAAGTCAGGGGTGCAGAAGGAAGGGAGTAAGTAAGCCTCAGGGAACCAAAAAGCAACTGCAGTTTCCCCCAATTCCCTAGCACCAAGAGAATTGACAGAATTGGGTATACACTTCCAGATAGGGCATTTGTCCTTGTCCTCTATGCTGCAGAAGGTGTACCCAGGTCCATGGCCTTGAACCAACCCAGCACACCGGGGACTTGAGAGCATCAGGCAGAGTGCGAGACAGCCTCACAACTGTCTGCCCAAAAAGCACCTCCAAGCCTTGGTGCTTGGAGAGCAACCCCAACAGCAGAGCAAGAGAGGAGGCAGTCTTGGCTGGAGAAGAACTCGAGGTTAGGCAGTTTCCCCATATGGGCCACCAAAATGTTAAGGTTTAGGGGTGCTAGGACCCCAAAATCAGAACACACAGGTCCTGCCTAAAAGAATTTGACCCAAGCCTTCTTTCAGCCAAAGACAAGGTTTATTAGAATATTCACCATATTGGGCAAACTCTTAAGGAGTCTGAACATTAGTGAACTATTGGCCAGATTTTAAGAATCTGAGCAGTGGCTAGATTTTAAGAATCTGAGCCTTGAAGAATATTTCTAAGATGCATGGAGGGGAGTTCATTCCACGTGTAGAATATTGCTAGAGCAGAGACCCAGGCAAAAGAGGAAATATCATGTGAGGATGCCTCACAAAGAAAAGTATTCTCTCTATCCCATGTCTGGAATGATGTATAAAGGAAATGATTTTGTATAGTTTTTAACTTCTCATGTCTGTCTACATGTTGGTCCCTCTTCTACACTAGAATGGAAGCTTCTTAAGGGTAGGATGATTATTTGGTGCTTTTTTGCATGTATTTGTTTCAGGTATATTTGTCACTATATTCTCCTATCCCATTGCTTGGAATATAGTAGATGTTTAACAATGTTTGTTGAATTAATTTCAGTTAAATAGATAGGGTATTATCCAATGAAATGGAAAGTGAAAAAAGAAGGATTTTACAGGAATATGAATTATCTATGGAATATTTCATTTTGTATGATTATGGATAAATATTATGCTTAATGATGGCTGACCTTTGTTCATTTAAGTCCCAATACAGGCTCAGTGACTTGACACTAAATTAATCTTTATTCCTCTGAGTGAATGACTTCAAATGTGCTTTCTATCTCTGATATTAACATGGATTGTTTATCTTAGAAAAAACTTTACTTCTCTAATCTCAGATGACTGATTTTATCTTATCAGTGACCTTATTGTGTTGGCTTTCTGGGAGTCAATTATGAATTAGTAAAATGCATAAATTACTGAGATTTTTCAAATTAATTGTCTATAAAACAAGGTAGGGAATAAGGAGCAAGTCCCTTTATCAATTATCTGGGGAAAGACAATCTTACTATATCTAGCATAAGATGTGATTTTATGTTTCAAAATGGATGGGTATTAGGTTCTGTTTAGAGAGAGAAAGACAATGAAAATTCATTTGTCAAATTCTTAACCAAAATTATCATATCAAGATTGGGATACTCAACAAATACAAACACTTAAAGATGTATTGATGAGTGGTAAGAAATGTCACAGTGTACTGCATAGGCCACCAGCGCAGTTTTAAAAATTCAGAATTATCCCTCTGCCCATGAAATAGTACTTCAAATCACATTAGTTCTCCACATACGGTCTTGCTCAGAACAGGGGGAAGAAGCCACAACAGAATTCTGCTCCTACTTTTCCAGTACTCCTTCATACCTCAGAATGGTCAAAGAGAAACCAGTGTATTTGCTTTGTTATGTTCTATAAAAGCATTGATAATTAAACCCTTTAAAGAACCTGAAAAAGTAAAAATAAATTACTTCAGGACAGAACCAGTTCTCTTGGCTACATTGATCTTCATCTTTGATTTTGCTTTGGGGAGCTAATGATCTAAATATTCTCTCTGGAATTGGATCCCTGTTGATACTAGGTTTTCTAAGTGACTTATAGTATTCTTTAGAAAAGACAGCTTTTCAGTAACTGGTTAATGGTTCTCGGTAGTAATTCAGGTAAGATCTAAGTACAAGAACTTAGCAAAAATTGGTTCAAATAATTCTCCATTTCATACAGGAGAAGAAAAATATCTAGTACTGTTCAATCAGTTAATACAGTGTGTTTCCTGAAAATTTTTTTTCCAATTCTTTTTGAATCTGTAATCATTGCAATGGGCTGCTGAGTGTTCCTGCTTTTCTCCTTTTCCACATACACGAGCGCATACACACAGAGATATCTGTTCCCTATATTGATATCATATGCAACATTATGCATCTATGAATTTCGAATCCAAATACCATCAAAACTTGAATTTCTTAAAAAATGAGTTATTAAACATTTAGATACTAATATCTTCAGAGGTAATGACTTTCTGAGGTCTGATACTGGACAACCTCCTTTTTCTCCCCCTCCATTCTTTATTACACACGTGAATATATACAAACTGAGTTATACAATCAAATTTTCATTTGATTATACATACAATCATACAATGATTCTCATTCTCAATCATGATATTTATCAAAAATAAAAACAGAACATTTCTGCTTCTATAACCAAATAAATCAAAAGTTAAGCTGTAATACATACTTTAAGGCTCTGAATTCTCCACAGGTCTATAGACAAATGGGTATCATCAAGTTTAATGATAAGTGTGTTATTTTATTTTTTCAGATCTCCAACCTTTACATATATGATACAGTGCTTCTACTTGCCAATGCTTTTCACAAGAAGTTAGAAGACCGAAAGTGGCATAGCATGGCAAGTTTGACATGTATCAGGAAGAACTCTAAACCCTGGCAAGGAGGGCGGTCCATGCTGGATACCATCAAAAAGGTACCTTCATGATGACATTCAATTCTGATTAGCTTCTACTCTACCAAAAATAAATTAGCAAATAAAATAATAAATCCTTTATGAAAGGGATTATCCTTACTAATGGCATTATTGGTCTAAAGCATAAAACATCAGTGTGATAGGTACATTTTAAGATGGGAAAAATGTTTTGATACAGTACCACATTCACACTCAACAAGGAATTTTGGTTTAAGTTGATTGGTTCATTTGTTAAGCAGCTGCTACATGCAAGACGCAGTGGTAGGTGTTGAAGGAGATCTGAATACGAATATCATCTGATTTGTACCCTCAAATAGCTTTAACTTTAGTTTTTAAAAATATCAATTAAGGATTGAAGTATCACAGACAGAATAAGTAGTATTTAAGAATATGAGGAAATAATTACTTTATCTTAGTGCTTTTCTCAAGGAAAAGAAAGTGATTACACCTTGTTACCAAGTTGTTGTTGTTCAGTCTTTTTAGTCATTTGACTTTGTTTCCCCATTTGGGGTTTTCTTGGCAGAGATGCTATACTGGTTTGCCATTTCTTTATCTAGCTTATTTTATAGATGAGGAAACTGAGGCAAACAGGGTTAAGTGACTTGGCCAGGGTCACACAGCTAGTGTCAGAGGCCAGCTTTGAACTCAAGAAGTTGAGTCTTCCTGATTTCAGGCCCAGCACTCTATGCGCTGTGACACCTAGCTGCCCATGGTTACCAAGAGAGGGGTTCTAAACATAAAATTCATGAAATTAAAACAAATTATTTTTGATTAGTATATTTCAATAGAGTATAGTATTCAATATAATTCTATGTATTTTTTTATATTTTAAAAACATTCTGAGAAGTCTGTAGTAATAGTGTCAAAGTCAAATGATGATGGGGGCCACTAATCCCTGTGTAAAAATTCCTGTGGGCCTCATATTGATTTAGTTCTGAAATGTAATGTTATCTATAGTTTATTGTATTTCTATTTACTTTATTAAATATTTCCAAATCAAATTCAGAAGTTTTTAACATTCATTCTTAAAAAAAAGTTCCAAATTCTCTCCTTCCCTTCTGCCTCTCTCCCACCCCTTGAGAAGGTAAATAATATGATATTGATATATAAATATGTTATTGACATATAAAGTCATGCAAAGCATATTTCCTTATTAGCCATGTTGCAAAAGAAACCCTCCACCCCAACACATACACACACATTCAAACACATACACATGCACAAGAAAAATAAAGTAAAAAAAAAGTATGATTCAATCTGTGCTCAGAGTTCACCAGTTCTCTCTCTGCAGGTGGATAGCATTTTTCAGCATGGTTCCTTTGTAATTAAACAGTGACATTTTAATCTAGTTCTGGCCACAATGTTTTGGTCTTGTTTGACACCTCTGCTCTCTAAATTTCACCAAAGTGCCCAAGGGCCCATGTCAGCAAAAAAAAAAAAAAGGTCAAGGATACCTGAGTACCTCCTATCCCGAAGCCCAATGGCATGGAACTCTCTACTTATTACTGGAGATTAATGTCCTTCCCTGCATGAGGAGCAGGGCAGAGTTGGTGAAAGGTAAACAAACTCCAGCCTTTGCCAGTCCCTTTGGGACTCTCTAAGTGAGAGTTCCCTTTGAATCCTGCTTTGGGACTCTTCAGGGCATATTCCCATTGGTACGGGTCAAACTTTGAAGCTTGAACTCTCATTTGAGTGAATGGCTTTGAGTGCTTCTGGTTTCCAGCTTTGGAGAGAAAAGGTAGAAGAAGCTAACTACACTTCTGATTGGAGAAGAGATCACTGGGGAGATATGAGAGGAGCTGCTAGTATCTATCATATTCCTATCCCAGACTGCCACTCTATAGATTTTGGAGAATTTCCTCTTGGGGAAACCCAGGACTCACTCACTCTCTCTCTCTCTCTCTCTCTCTCTCTCTCTCTCTCTCTCTCTCTCTCACTCTCTCTCTCTCTCTCTCTCTTTCTCTCTCTCTCTCTCTCTCTCTCTCTCTCTCTCTCTCTCTCTCTCTCTCTCTCTCTCTCTCTCTCTCTCTCTCTCTCTCTCTCTCTCTCTCTCTCTCTCTCTCTCTCTCTCTCTCTCTCTCTCTCACTTTCAGCTGAGTCACCTTGCTCCTAATGGGAAAGCTCCTTCATTCTGGTATATTCTTCTATGTATGCCTTTTCTGCTTTCTGTTTTGCTATGATTTGGATAAATGAGTTTCTTTGCTATTCTCTATTTGTATTCATTGTGTAACTGGTATCAGGTGGGAAAGGAGTCTAGCTTTGGATATAGAGCTTGGGGTCACCTTCCCCCTAAAATGGCAAAGTGACAAAAAGTTAGCTCAATTGATCATGACCTCGAGAAGGTGCTGGGTTTGGTACCATCTCCATCCCAAGCTGGCAACTTTGGCTCCTTAGCTCTTCTCTGTGGGATCACTGCTCTGCAATTTATTTTACTATTAGATAAGTCATCTTCCCCGATCTTTTTTGTTGTGCTTTCCATTGCTTTTTTACTTTAAAATGGAATTACTAATATAGCAAAAAAAAATTGTACCTGTGCACACAAGAGGAGCCCATTATGAACATTGTATTTGAAATTGCATACTTTCTCCCTGAAACAAAGAACAACAAAAAACAGCCAGTCAAATAAAAAATGAACATAGTGAAAAAAGTTTTAGCAAAATCTAAGCTTTACAGGAAGGAAGCTAGATAGAATGCTGGGCCTAGACTTAGTAATACTCATTTTTTAGTTCAAATCCAGCCTCAGATACGTACTGGCTATGTGACCCTGGGCAAGCCACCTAACCCTGTTTCCTTCAGTTTCCTCATCTGTAAAATGAGCTGGAGAAGGCAATGGCAAACTACCTCAGCATCTTTGCCAAGAAAACTCCAAATGGAGTAAAAAAGAGTTAGATATGATTGAAAAATGACTGAGCAGCAACAAGAAATTTTGCAGAAGTAGTAAAAGTGAGAGCTACCAAACATGAAAAGTGGAAGAAAGAAACATTTCAAAGTCATCATCTGACCAGGGTTCTTCTCTGGCACCATCGCTTGGTTCTACAAAATCACTTTGATGAGAAGCCAGAGGGCTGTCAGTGGAGGTGTGTGAGAATCAAGCGGAGAGTATTACTCAAATACAAAAAAACCTTCTGTCAATCCAAACCTAAGATGTTGCCAGAAACTTTGAGCTATATCTACATAGAAAGCTGGCAGGTGTGAATCTGGGGGAGGTTGTACAACACTATGCTACTCTGCCAATTTATTAATTCATGGTTTGGCTACAAGGCAGAAGCTTGTTTAGACTCATGATTTGGGAGCTTCCTTCACAAAGACAAAATAGCAGTTTGGGAGGTTGCTAAGGAAACAAATAGATGATGATGAGTGGGAAGGAAAACAGGAGAAAATAATATACAGGTATTTCTCATGAGGCAATTCAATACATGGAATTTTGCTGTTAACAAATTTATGCTAAGATGGTCTATGACCTTATGGTTACATGGTTCACAAAGCATCTTTACCTTCTCATTTCTCCAATATATTTCTTACCCTTCTATAACTTGTCTGTGGAAGATCTTGCCAACATCCTGGTGCATTTCCTCTATGCTAGTGTTAATATTTCAGGTTTAACAGTGAAATAACTTGACTAATACACCTGTCATCTCTCACTTTAACTATACAACTGGCCTAACTCTCTTTTCAGGCTTACATAGGTTCACAAGATCATATATCTAAAGCTGGAAAGGATCTCAGAACTTATCTAATACAAACATTTCATCTAATAGATGAGGAAACTGAAGCCCAGAGAAATTAAATGTCTTGCTTAAGGTCACACAGATAGTGAGCAACAAAGGTAGTATTTGAACTCAGGTCTTCTGATTCAAGATAAAGACTCTTCACTATATTTCATATCCTTTTTATTTGTTCTAAACCTAATAATGATCAATGAAACAATTCTAACATTCAGAAACAAAAATAAAAACATTGTCTTACATGAAGATATAAATCCTATCTTTACAGTTTGTATATTAACTTATTTTTTGTTAAAGTGTCAATAATGTTGTTAGTTATTATACCAAGGTTATTTGCTGATATAGCTCATGCTGCATGCTACCACTGAAGCCTCCCTTATGACAGAGAAAAAATAAGAAAATCAGCTAACAAAATGACAGTGTATGACAAGTTTCCACAGTCTGTCAATTCTCTATTGAGGAGAAGAATATACGCTTCATTATCTGCTCTCTGTGAATAGGAATGATCTATAGAATCAGTCTGATTGTTTTTTAGCATTGTTTTCATTTATATTATTGTAGTGGAGCACTTAGCACAATGTCGAGCACATACTATGTGCTTCTAAATGCTTATTGATTTGACCTGTGGAATGTATATACCATAACCTTCATTCTGCTTGCTTCACTCTGTATAAATTCATCTAAGATGTTTCATGTTTGTATAAGTTCTTGATTTTTTTTAACTTCTCAGTGCAAAATAACACTCCATTATATGTATACCATTTTTTGTAGAGAGAGTACCCAATCTATGGACAACCATTTTATTTCCACATTTTTGTTATCATCAGAAATATCACCATTAACCTTTTGGCACATATGGCAATTTTCTTTGGTCTCCTTTGGAATACATGCCCATGAGTTAACTAACTCAAAGGCAAAAAACTCAGTGATATTTTTCCAACATAATTTCAAATAGTCCAAAATAGTTGGACCAATCAATGACTCCCCCAACTATAAAATCATGTTCCCCTCCAACATTGATTATTTCTGGTTTTGATCATCTTTTTAAATTTGATAGCTATCTAGAGGAAACCCCAGGGTGGGTTTTAATCTTGTATTTATCTTATTTTTAGTGATTTGGAGCAATCTTTCATATGATTATTGATCATTTGTATTTCTTTTTTTCAAAACTTTTTGTTCTTATTCCCTGATCATTTTTGTCTATTGGTGAAGAGCTCTGGGTCTTTTGTATTTGTGTCAGTTCCTTAGTTCATTTAAGCTACTAAGGCTTAAAAT